AGTTTGCTCAGATAACATGGGTTTAATCAAGGAGAAGACTCGTGAAGGGGACGCCTGATACCTGCAATCATGGCAATCAGAGCTTAGGTGCTCTGCCCAGTGAGGCGACACTGTACGTGCTTCTAGGGCCTTGAGAAATAGCGCCTGGAGTGAAATGTAAACTGTGACTGGAACCGAGTGAAATCGGTCAAGCAGAAAGAGAAGGAACGGATCTACGAGACAATGAGGGGATCCGGATTGGAGGTCCGAGACAGATCAGCCGATCGAAAGAGAGAGGGTGAAGGTGAATAGCAAGTATGATGAAGCCGTATTAGATTTGCCACAAAAGGGCAGACATTTTGCCGAGTGGAATGTAAAAAAGTGAGAAGTTGTCATATAGTGGAAGATAGTAAAGAGTAGATAGATAGGGCAGGACATAAAGAGGAGTGATAGTGTAACCGTTTTCGGCAGAACGTTTGTCGAGGGATTGGCTTCACTTGTCTCTGACGAGTTCGTAGCTTGGTACGGCGAATGGCAAAACTGACTGATGATGCCGACTACGATGCCGGCGAAACGTTTGAGAATGTACCACGTCGACTGTCTGATGCTGGAAATCATGACAACTACTATGGCAGACGACTTCGAACTAGGTGCGTCCTACCAAGTCGCCGTGGCAACAAGAGCAAGCTGCGACATTGAGGTCAACCCGCTTCTCTGTAGTGCAGTCTATAATCCCAACACCTGTCCCCACTATGCTACACTGTCACGAGTTCCCAAAAGTCTCCCTTCCAAGGCAACCCCCTATCGGCCACCATTGAAACCAATTTACGAATCCCTTTCGACAAACATTTCCCTCAAATCTAAGGGCTGAAGCACACAAAGTAATAGGACGCTTGATTAAGTGAACGAAGTTGGGCTACAAGGCGAAATGAGAAGTGCAGCAGTCAGATCTTCCTAAAGCATGGCTTCTTGATGCATCGAGATCTGTCAAATGACATGCAAACACATAGCGCTGATTCCTCGGGATCGTGATACATTGCGCTCAGGACTTGCTTGCATAAATCTAGTCACAACTACAAAGCGATCCTCATTTGGCTTCGAGTGAAGCCAACTTACGAATCCCTCCATTCACCTCTTCATAAACTCCGTTTTGTTTCGTGTTCTCTCTACTTGTCTGGACTCGCGTTCCCCTCTACCGGAAAATGGAAGTAAGAATGATTGTAGTGAGTCCTTCATCACCTTAGACGAAATAGGGTAAATACATCTCATACTACTGATTTACTGGTAGTTTCAATTCTCTACTCCAATACGAAAGTTTAATACGGATAGTCTAGCTTATTAACAGGTTCAGTTGATTTTTCTAAGTAACGAACAATTTAAGATAGTGTTACGTCACCGAGGAAAATTGGCTAATGGGACCAGGAGTTTAACTGACACAACTTCAAATATCTGTGGGTTGACCTCGTTGTCGCAACTTGGTCTTGTTGTCAGGGGGACTATGTAGAACGTATCTAGTCCGAAGTCGTCTTCCACAGTAGTTGTCATGATTCCCAGCATCTGACAGTGGACTTGATACATTCTCAGATACTGGGAATCATGACAACTACTATGGCAGACGACTTCGGACTCGGTGCGTTCTACATAGTCACCGTGAACACAAGACCAAGTTGCGACAACGAGGTCAACCCACTTCTATAAATCGAAAGGAGACTGCGACCATACCAGATGCCACAACATCTTGGTCTTCATATATTCAAATATCTGATTCGCTTTTAGAAGCATGTAGGAAACTATGACATATAATTGATCAACAATTGCACTGTGGCATTAAACTACATTCACTCGAGTTTCAGAGGCTTGACACACGTTTTACACAACTATACATATACATATCTGCTTATCAGCAGAGGATCTCTTACCTCTTCTGGTTCAGTGTGCATATGAAGCGCTAGCCCCACACCACCCAATTCAGCAGGCGTACCCTTTGAGTATAAACAGCGTCAATATTACTCAGCCCAACGAGTATGTAGGACAGAGGAAATAAACCTTAAGTGTGGCTTGGCTATGATGGCCTTAAGGCCAGATGACACCCATTTGACAATCCCAACCGGGCCAGATCATTTCGTCAAAGGCCCTGCTAGACCTTGTAGACGTTTGTGAACCGAATACGTTCCATCAGGATGTCCAATTAACTCGTCTCGCCTATCCATCTCTCAAATAGGTTTGCATTTTCTCTCCTATTAACAATTAAGGCCGGACGTTGATGAGATATTTTGCCACACTAGTTCGGATAATACAGTACCACCAAACCCATGAAGCAACCAATAGTGATTGTAGTGAGCCAAGAACTCACCAACATCTGCATCGTCTGGTATCAGCAAAGAGCCGTCCGACGACAGTCGGCATAATGTATATCGTTCTCGGTCAATGGTGGGTCCGCGTTCCTGGTTTTCTAAGTTGTCCCAGCCGAGGCCCGGCAAGACGCTGAGGAGATTTGGTTGGCCGCCACGTCCATCAGACGATTCGGAGCGAGCCACCGTTTCTTCGCCAGTTAGACAATGCTTGGCTGCGTCGATGGGCAGCATCAAATGGCGAAATCCTTTCGGTTGGGCCTCGCGCAGAGACTCGAAGGACTGCGGCATGACGGCTGGGCTGAGAAAGACGGTGGGCCAGCTCAAACTGGCCACTAAACCCACGGCCAGAATAATGTTGGTCCACCTGCACATCTACTTTGCAAAATAAGCAGCACTAAAATAGCATTAATTGACTCTTTGCTCTTAATGGTAGATTAGAGCTTCAGGCTTCATTGAGCCTGATTTACTGCGAGACAAGTGGGTTAGCAACAGGTTAGCCAAACTAGATTGCATAAGGGGATGGTAGCATCTGTCGAAGGCAGGAATACATGTACCGTTAGCTCTCTTAAACTAACCATATTTTTGGCCTGGATGGCCCGCATTGGCAAGTAATTTGTTTATCTAACCTTTTCTCGTATTAAGTAGAGCGTAGCTGCTAAATTAGATTGATGAATCACTTAATAATATTTATTCGATAGATATGAAGTATACGAGATTTTAGTCTGCGATTTGTTCGCAGTCCTTTTTCGAGGTATAATAGTATTCCGGCCTCGTTTTCACAACTTGGTCGTGCTTTATTTGTGATATTAAATGAAAATTGTATTGTGTAAAATTTGGCCATTCTAGATACCTTAAGGGGATATAAGAAGAGATAAGAGAGTCCGGAGAGAAGATGGGTTTCGAAGAATCCATTAGTAGATTAGTTCACACATTGGTCATTCACATCGAAAAAGTCAGTTGACTACTTAATTAAGGGAACATACAATAAAGTACAATAAGCCTACTCCTGCCATACCAAACCACTTTCTCCACTCGGTGCCGATGAATTCATTTAAAAATATGCACTTTGTATCCTGCTTAAAATGTCGGCTAAACTTATGTCTACTTACCAGTAAATAACAGTTGCAAAATATTACCATGATAAGTTGAATCCCACCTTTATCTATTTTCTAATTGAATGCCTTCTCTTCTGAAGAGCCATTCTTATAGTTCTAAACAGCAATGTAGATGGTTTTGACTCTATACATTTTGGGATTGGAAGGATGAATTCTGCCATTTAGTTAAAATAATTATTTTTTTTAAAAATAAATAAATTTATTTATTTATTTATATTTATATATATATTCATTGTCGGGATATTTAGTAGAGTATAGTTTCTTGCCATTGCAATGTCTGCCACAGTAG